TGCTCTCCATAGTAAAAACAACTGCACAAAACTAGGAATAGAAAATGTTGATTTTCCAAGTTACTGCAAAAATAAATAAATAAGTAAATAAATAAATAAATGGAAAGGAGAAAAATCCCTTTACTACACCTTTACATTGCATTAAATACCTTTGCTATCCAAGATAAATGACCACAGCTGCCTTGATGGAACACATGCTTATTGTTTGTAGGGAATTTAGAAGAAATGCAAGTGTTTAAGAGCAACTCTTCAGGAGGTTTGTTTCCTGAGCTGGGCTCCAGGGACCTTAATTAAAAGCCCATTGTCCATTGCTAGCACCTGCCAACATCTTCCCCCAGTGGGAGCTTGCCAGCGGTGTAGAGGTGGACCACAACTTTCCAAGGAGCCTGCAAAGCTGCCCAGGGAACTGTCAAGCACGCTTCTGAGCCTGTTTTAGCTCCACGGCCTATGCAGATGCTCTTGCTGATGCTGGTTATGTTTGTGTTTATACTGAAGCTGTTGTGTTAGAGACTGGAGAAAAAAAAAAAGCACTGGCAACTCCAGCAAACCTGCTTAGACATTATCCACGTTGTTGGAGGCTGGAGCAAGCAGTGTTCAGGAAAGCATGGAGAAAGGAAGCCAGGAATTTATTCCCAAGTAGCATTTCAGATTACACTGGTGTCCGTCATTCAGTGTTTAACTTGAGCTGTGGCCCAGAAGCAAACCTTTTACTAGAGCTCCAGCCCTTTGTCCCCCATCACTGTTTCCTTCTAGGAAAAGCCAAACATCCCAAAACCAGCCTAGCAGAAGGAACTGAAGAACTGTGACAAACTCTTGTGTAAATAAAAATGCAGTTTAGCAAACAAATCAGATTCCTTTTATGAAATAAAATGGAGACACTTGACTGGGCCTCCAAACCAAAAAGAGAACCTTCCAGCACTTTCCCTGGGGACTGGAACTTGGTGAATCTCTGCAGACTACTGGCCCCGGCATTGGCTGGGGACAGGCCAAACTGAACATGGAGCCTCTGGGGTCACCAGACCTGTAAACCAAAGAGATTCACTGGCGAGTAGGTGTGGGAGCAGGTACTAGGACAAGGGAGTGAGCTCTAATATAGCTACAGACTCTTGTTAAATCAGCAAAAAAAAGATAATTTTGTTTGTTTACCAAGTTTATCCTTTGTCCTTGGGTAATTTTTCTCAGACTCTTGGCTGTGGGTAGTAGCTAAAATTCTTGACTTTCTGTTTCTCAGAGTTTTATTGGTAGGAAGACAACAAGATTCAATTCATGGCATGTCGCGGTTTCCCAGTCATAAAACCTCTTCATAACTACTGAGCCACGGTTCAAGGTGCTGCACCCAAAACATGTTCAGTCTTCAACTTGAAGGGACTGCTTTGAACTTTCCAGCCAGAGGCAAAGAAATGCAGTGGATCGGGGTTCTAGCTCCACTTCTGACTCTTTGATCTCAGATCTCCATTGTTCATCTCTTCACTCAATACAGAGCACAGAGTTAACTCAGCCCTGCATCACAGCAGGCTTCAATCTTAGAAATCTTCCAGGACATGGGAAAATGCCTTGGCTGTTTTGTTTCTGGAAGACACTCAAATTTGTCTTTGCCTTAGGTCTGTCCCCAGCATAAGTCATTTTTAAGAGTGCTTACTGAGTGCCACTTACTATCCTAGGCTTCACGCAAATGGCTCTGATAACAGGTCAGCAAGGCATGCTCCGGTCACCATCCCCGTTCCATCAAATTTAGCTCCGAAGCACAGTTGCATTGCTGGTGCAGGATGCTCCTCTCCCATGGAGTCTGGTGTGCGTGTCCTCAGAGCACAGCTGTGCCGCTGCCATGGCGCCCTGGAAGAGTTCCACAAGCAGAGCCCAGGGATGCACAGCTCTCCCAGGGGCATTATCACCCCCCTTACACACTGGTAAAGCAGTATTAGTATGTGAGAGACAGTTGGGAAAGAACACTGTAAACTCTTCATGTCAAGTATAAGAGCATTCTGGAAACTTCCTCCTATATGCCCCCCTCCTTTTTGTGATTTTTCCATTCTTCACACACCTCAGAATGATAGAATGAAATGGGCTTCTGGAGACGGCAATAAAGAAAAGTAAACAGAAGAGCAAAATGAGCCTGTCCTTTCTCCTTTTCCTTTTCTACTTACTCTCCCGCCATCTGAGTTACCACACAAGTCCTCAGTTCACCCCTGAAGCGTTCTTCAAAGCTCCTCAGCTGTAGCAAGCATCTCAGACTGATCTCTTTACTCTTCATTACTCTTGGTTCTTGTGGTTAGAACCAAGCACGCAGGCATCCAACTGGCCATTTGACCGGAACTGAAATTACACTATGGTAGCAAGGGTGTAGAAGGATGGATGAGAGGCTGCTGCTCATGCTTTGAGAGAATAACATCTGAATATGGAAGCAAATATTCCTCCATCTTCCAGAGCCTGGCTTCATGTGGAACCTGGTTACCATGGAAGTGCGGGGAGACATCCAGGTTCCCCTACTACTTGTATAAGTGTTTGAGTAAAGCAGAAACAGGACCATGCTGTCATGGGGCACCTGAATCTAGAGGGAAGGAGCTCAACCTGGTCGGATGCAGCTGCATTCCTCCTGCCCTGCTTCGCACCTCTAGACTTCACTAGAGTGAAGTCTCCACTCCTGTTTCTCTCCTTGCTGGGAATATGTTTTCTACATTCTCTCTATGTACCAAGCCACAGGCATCTCCCACTATAGGACAAGTCCTTCTACTTCACATTGGCCCCCAAACATCCTTTCTATGTGTTCACATAGCAACCTGCACTTCCCCATACCATTGTGCCTCTCTCTGATAGGATCATCTGTTCCTGTTCTCCAGCAGCTTGAAACCTTGCTCATCTTTATTTTCTCCCAAGCACACTGCTTGCCGCTACAGTCAGTAACTGCTATGGATCACTGGAGTTAAGAGGAGGTTTTGAGACACATGAGTTGAGAGTTAACCTTATGAAACCTTACTCTGACCATCCATGTGCAGGCACTTGTGTGCTCTCCTTACCATTTCTGGCATGGCAGGAGAAATCTGCCTTAGGACTGAGATCAGGCTGAGTAATTATTAATAGATTTTTAAATGATATGATAATAATAGCTAGCATATACTGATTACTATGCCCCAGGCTCTGTTCTAAGCACACTTAGAATCATTTAATCTTCCTAACAATTCCATAAGGTAATTATCTGTTTTATAGATGAGGAAATGGAGAGGTGAGGTAACACGCCAAGGATGCACAGCCAGTGAGTGGCAAAGCTGGCTCTAGATTCCATGTTATTAATTACCACGCTCTGCTGCCTCTTACTGAGAAAGACAGAGAGGGGCCAATCACCAATACGTGTGGGTTATTTTTCTGGGTTTAAAGAGGGTCCTAGAGGTCAGGAAAGAACACATATATTCCATTTTTACTTTGTTGTTATCATCCCGATTCAGTGATGCTACTTTCTTTATCCCACATAACGTGCTTGTACAAGTGTGTGCATCTAACCAGACACTCACACTCCTCGGCAGTGTTTTTCACTTCTTGGAGTAGGTCTTCAGCTATGTGTGCACTGGACAGTGGTGCACAATTGTAGCAATCATCAGACCTGATGTCATATGGAGGGACATACATTTGTGCAGCCTGGAAGGGACCTTGTAAATATACCTTCCATTCAGGATTCCTCTAAAGGGATGCATTTAGGGATAATCAATAAATGTCTTTTAAATTCTTAGCTTAGTAGGAAAAGTTGGTCCTTCTAGGGAAACTTAGTGATGAGCCTAGCAAATAGGGTGGTCTTTTCATAAGATTAATGAATTTGTGTGGGATCCAAAGAGTGAGTCTTGGTTGGGATCACAGTCTGTTTGGGCTACTATAACAAAATACCATAGACCAAGTGGCTTATGAACAACACATTATTTCTCTCAGTGCCAGAGGCCAAGAAGTCCAAGAGAAAGGTGTCAGCACATTTGGTGAGCCCTAACTTCCTGGCTCTTAAGCGAGGTTCTTCCTGCTGAGTCCCCCACATCAAGAAAGGCAAGGGAGCTCTCTCAAGGCCTCTTACATGCACACTAAACTCATTGATCACAGCACCACCCTCACCCTAAGATCTAATGGCCCCTCAAAGATCCGATCTCCTAATATCAATTCCTGGTGATAATTATGTTAACGTATGAATTTCAGGGGACACAAATGCTTTGATCATAGCAGGACCTGTGCTTATTACCTAATGAGAATGAGGTAAAAAGAAGTTATCCAGAAAGCTTTGAAATTTAGTTGGATGCAGTGGAAAAGTCATATTCAACAGAGAGAATAGGTACCTCAAAAATACTGAGGTGTTCCTAAGGGAACTGCGCAAAGACTCCGTTTTTGCAGGGCTTGAAAATAGACTGAGCACAGATATTTTTAAACAATACCTGGGGTTTGAATATCTTTATATATTTTCATTATTTCCATATCCATCGTCATGAGAAAAGTAAAGATATTTATAGCTATCTGAACAAGAATTTAGACTGAAATAGCTATATGGTTTTTATTCAAGGGACACAGGATTCTGGAATAGACTTTATTAGAGCTAGAAAGAACACAGATTTTTTTCTTTCTAGGTGTCTTTAGGAATGGGAGATGCATTATATAATTTAGGAATGTAGCTTAGAAATAAAATGGTTATTAAAATTTTAATAAGTTATATCCATTCTGGAAAAAGGCTAGTCACTGAACTATAATTGACCAGAGGCATCAAGAGTGTCCCCAAAAACTCTTCTTTTAAAACTTAAGATTTAACTTGTCTAAACGAAAATATAATGTAGATATACAACTTGTTACAAAATCGGGATCTGAGCAAATTCTTTTTCCCTTCCCATACCACCTCCTGGTAGAACTGTAATTTCTGGATGAACTGAATAATTTTCCTTTATTTTCACGTCTTCTAAGGAGAGAGTGATGGGTGTGTGAGTAAAAGGCATGTTTTACCATGACCCTATACTTGATATTAAGACTCCAGAGTAAAATCATGACATAAAAGGTATTTACTGACACTGACCAAAACATATACAAATATTTCTTCAGAACACAATGAAAACATCTCCTGGTTTAAAGGCAAGGTCTGCCAGGTGTCCTCTGTGGGAAAGGCCCTCCAGCAGCAAGTTCATGGAGAGTGTACATGTCCCACAGGAAAGGCTTCCTTTGCATGGGTGATAGTCGCTGGTGGTCCAGGGAGCAGCAGGAACAGGCTGGCTGATGGAAGGAAAGGTTTTCATAGAGTTTCACTGTTTATGTCACAACTGTCTTTAGAGGGTTGAAGGATGCTGCCGACCACTGGCACAGGATCTCACCAGTATTAGGACAAAGACAGTGTGTTTCAAAGCATGTAGCTCTGGTCCTTACCATCTGCAGACTGTGTTCCTGGGATGGTGGCCACAGGGCCAGAACAGGTGCCTATCAGGACACGCTGATGGAATGGTGATGGTGACAGATCTCTATCTCTGATGCCCAAAGAGATTGATGCAGATTGCCTAGCTGAGGAAAGGCTTTCTCCATAGCCTCCAGTGCCTTTTTGAGCACCAGGGCCACTCTTAATAACCAACTGCCATGACAGTGAAAAGTCATCCCTTCAGAAGATAACTCTTTAGCCCAAATTGTTTCATCTCCACCTTAAAAGCTTTTTATTTCCAAATCCAGGGGACGGCATATAAAATGCAATCTGGAATTGTACCTTAGAGTCAAATAACCTCTTCATATACTCCTGCATATCCAAGTTAGTTTCCCCTCCAGAAATCTGAAAGCAGGTGTGATAAATTAAAGATTATACAGAGCTGTTTTCAATAATTTAAGTATTAGACTCAGGCCAAGAGTGAACTTGCATGAAGTATTAAATAGTATCCTGAAATCAATTTGGGCACAGTCACACACAGAAGGAGTAGGGAAGAAAGGTTCTCCCAAAAGTGCCAGAGTTGGGTTTGTTTGGTGAAATAATGACAACTCAATCAGAGGTAAACAATGTCTTCATCTGCTCTGTCTTCAGCTAGCCCATCTTGCATGGCCATTGTTGACAGATTTTGCTTCGCTTCTGCTATGAATGTCTGCTGTTGAGGGCAGTAGAGATCAGAGTCCTGCAGGGGTGGAGACTTTGTCCAGGAAGTGTCCAGCTCTGCAACAGACAGACAGCACAGGTTATAGGAGTGGCAACCAGGGACCTGCCAGACTGATGACATCATTACCCAGAGACTAGGACACACAGGGCCCCTGCAGTCAGCCACAGAAAAAATGACTGAGCCCAGGGAGAGAGAACCATTCAGGCTTTCTAGTGATTTTATCAGTACAGCTCAGATGTGTTCGCCTATATGCACAAATGCCTCCAGTGGGTAAAAGTCACTTCTGTAAAAGTCTCCCAGGGAAGGTTCAAGTAAATAGAGGTTCCTATTCTTGACAGTCAACTCCCTGTTCCAGTTGGGAAAGGGAAGCCCGCTTAAATTTTAAAATAGATCCAGCCTTTTAAAATAGATCCAGCTGTACCTTTAAAATAGGTACAGCTCTGGGTAATAAACCAAATTTATATCTGTACAGCACCTTCCCTCATAATATTGCAAAGTTCAAGAATTGACCTCCAAGCTCATATAATGTGTCCAGGTCTTTCCTGATGTGGGCAAGAGGTGGGGAGAAAGGAGGTGAAGAGGGAAGGAAGCCCCTAGCCTCAGCATCATGCAAATGTGTTAATGCTATGCATGGTACTTAGCAAGAGTAGGCAGATTTATAGGGAAAAAGCATGCCAGTGTCAACTATGACTGGGTTTGCATTTTTCTTTTTCAGGTTACCTAGCAACAGCAGGGCACTGTCTACTCTCCCTTCTACTGGTAAAACCCTCTAATATCGTGCTTTACTGGGGAGATGAAGGAGAATCTTCATTTGAAGAAAGAAACACACGTGCTGCACATCACTTTCCTTGTGCTTGTGCCCTGACCCACTCTTCTGAGGCCCAGCCACACGGCAGTGTTACAAATAGCCAGCTTCTGTTGGAGCCAAACACAAAGCAGACTTAGAAGTCCAGATGCAGAAAGAAGGTGGGGTGCCAGGGAACCTGCTTGCTGCATTTTTTACTCTTTAGCAGGAGACTCAGCCCTTCCTAGGTTTTATTCACAGTCTTTACAATCTAGCTGGATATAATACCGTTAGCATTCTAATGACAAAAATGCTGGTGACCTTTACTCTCCTGATTTAGATTTTTGACAACTAGAGAGGGTAATATGCAAAGCTTGGTGGAAATGAAGGACATAATGTCCCTACAAGACTCCACTTTGGGGAGGCAGTGGCCTTTGCTCCCCCTCCAAGGCATGGCTGAAGGAGGAGGAGCAGTTAGAGCCACAGAAAGTAGAGGGTCACCCAGAAAGAGCAGTGGCAGGAGCTGACCTGTGCCTCTGAAGCAAGGGACCTTAAGGGAGAGCAGAAAAAGGCAGTCATATGAGGCTGTGTCCCACATCTTGCTCAAGGCATAAGCCAACACTGACCCTTTACATGCCAATGAAGTGCAAGGAGAAAGTCCACTTTCAGCGTGCTGACTTAATTCTACCGATTCTAATTCCCGATCCTACATCTCCAATACCAGGAACCCATTACAACTGATAATGTAACTATGGAAGATGCTGCTACCATTTATCCAGTGCCTTCTCTGGGTGCAGACCTTTTACATTCATCATCTTTTTTTTGGTACCAGAAATCAAACTTGACCTTGTGCTTGCCAGGCAGAAGCTGTGCCACTGAGCTAAAGCTCCAGCCCTTCATCACCTCCTCAAAATCATGTAACTCCTGTTGGCAGGTGAGGAAATTGTATTAGTCACTTGTTGCTGGGATGAAATTTCTAACAAACACAGCACAACCTAAAGGAGAAAAGACTTACACTGGCTCACAATTTCAGAGGTTTAACTGCATGGCTGGCCAGCTCGAAGGCAGAAATGGTGTGGTGGAGGAAGGCTGCTCATCTCATGGCAGCCAGGAAGTAGAGAGAAAGCAAGAGACCATGTGACTGTGTTCACACCCTGTCTTCTTTCTCCTAGCCATCAAATGGAGCCAGCTTATTATACAACTTCAAAGGAAAAAATCTCCATCTGGCAGATACTGCTAGACTGAACCAGTCACCCAAACCACTATCGAGCTACCTCTTCGCCAACAAAGGATCTAGAATGAAAAATCAACCACTGAGTGAGGCAGGAGCTTACTGCTGACAAATGCAACAGTGCTAGACACCCTCAAGCCCTTAACCCATGTATGTCACCTTCCTCTGGGGGTGAAATGTAGCAGAGTTCAAAATACTAAGGGGCCTGGGAGTCCGGGAAGTTTCTTCATGGCTTCAAGACAAGACTCATCAGAGAACAAGCCAAAAAAACAAATGTAAGAAATAATCCTTTTATCTTCCATTAAACTGTAGGCTGTAGTTCAGGGAGTGGAGAACCAAGAATGAATAGCACAGTGAGAGTAAAGTGTATGTGAATGTGTATGTGTGTGTGTGTGTATGAGAAAGAAACAGAGAGACAGAGACAGACAGAGCGTGCATTGGAGGACGCATAAACATTTAATCAGAACATTTTTAGACAAAAGTAAAAACGGGGAAAGCATTTCTAATGAGCGCTGGCTGGGTCCTAGGTGACTGGCCCACACTCTAATTCCAGATGTATTATTACTCGATGCTGCTGTGGTCGTAGGGCACCTGGCAGAGAACTCAATTTCCTTTTCTGTGTTCCTTCTTGGTTTTTACCTGAACTCCCTAAGCAAGGTCAGACAGTCTGTCTTTGAAATTAGAAACCATTCTGTGATTTCTGATTTTATTACTCCATTTTGGCTCTAACATAACTCGTGCACAGCAACTGTATATTTCTAAAGGCCAGGGATCTTTATCCACATTTTTACCCTAGAGAGCACGATCATCATAGAAAACCCTAAGCTGAAAAAAACATTGGTTAAATTAAACCTCACTGTTTCAGAAAACAGAATTATGGGAGAGTAAAATTAATCATCTAGTTTCATCTGTGATCAGAATACATGTTAATTGGTGGGGATAAATATAGATTGCTTATTTTTAATAAGCAATAAAATGTGAATATAATCATAATTTAGTCAACTAAAAGCAGAATGTTATTATAATGAAGTAAACCATAAATCTGCAAAGATCCAGCACTACCCCTCCTTACATAAAAGAAATAATTGGATATCTCTGGAAACTTTTTTAAACAGAGTGAGCATTATTAAGCTTAAAATAAGGACAAATAGGCTGAAGCACATAAAAAACCTAATGACTTGCTAAACCAAGAGGAAAAGAAGAATCTTGTTTCAGGGATTTTCCTGCTACACAGTGAGCTTCTATTCACACTGCAGTTTCAGCCTATGCAAGAAGTTTCCCCATACACTTTATAAAGACCACTGTGAAGTCCAAGCTAGTCTCCTAATGTAGTTTTTAACCGTCTTTCCTTTCATACACTCCTAATGCAGTTTTTAAGCATACAGCCAATCACATTTTTGGCTGGCACAATTCCTTTCTCTTGCAGATATGCAGGGCAGAGCACCCTGGCCCTGCCACGGGACGTGGGTGCCCAGAATGCTAAACATCCAGTAGGTCCCCAAATCTGCTCCTTAGCCTTTAGTCGCAACCTTCTTGTTGGCCCTTGCATTTACCATTTTCATACTTTTCTCCGCTAGAATTTCTCACTAACTGTGAAGAGAATCAGCCTTCTTTCGATCACCTCACCAATATTATTTATAATCTACTTGAACCCCCTGGGTAATAGGCTATTTTCAAGACCAGACTATAACTGAGCATGTAAATACAACCATGTGTCATCTTACCAAGGAATAAAATAATAGGTAAACTGTGATAGGACTGAAATATTTTAATCCATAACATAAAGTGTAACCTTGGGCAAGTCATCTCCCCTCTCCAGTCTTCAGTGCATGAAGGACTGAAATGAAATCATCATGAAAGTACATTAAACTTATTATATTGCATATGAAATTTCATATTTATGTTTTGGCTCTGTGATTCATCAATAACACTCTAAAGATACAAAACAATGAATAATTTTTCTCCTCTTTGTACTCAGGAAATGCAATTAAATTTACTACCTGAGTTTTTATTTAATATCATATTTTTAAGATAGTTGTCAGATACAAAAGTGTCTCCTCTCCTCTCTTTTCAATTTTCCCAACAATACCAATAGAGGGAAGCCCACATACAGTCTTCAAAGGAGCCTCTATTTTTGTTCTGGATTTCTTGTTGCTTGTGTCTTTTGTTTTTCTTTTATGTAAGTTATTTTATTTTATCTTTTAAATAAAAAAGGATGGTATATGGAAAGTAAATGAGTTGAAAGCAACACCTACAGTCAAAATCTACACTTGATTTCCCTCCTGTGAACAACAAACTTACAGTATCTTGTCACAAAGAACAAGTTTGTCCAGCACTCTAGGAGACTGAAGCAGGAGGATTACAAGTTCAAACCTAGCCTGGGCAACTTAGCAACTTAGTTAGACCCCATCTCAAAATACAAAATGAAAAATAAAAGAGAGACATTGATGAGAATGAAGCTCAGTAATAAGGACCTGAGTTCAATCCTCAGTGCTGAAAAAGGAAAAGGAAAGAAGAGAGGAAAAGAGAAGAGATGAGAGAGGAGAAGACAGCAAGGGAAGAGGAAGAGAGAGAGAGGAGAACAAAGGAGAGGAGGGAGGGAGGAGGAGGGGAGGGATACAAAACCAGGCTTGGGAAAGTGGAATATGGTTGCCCACGATTTTCAAATATTTAGTTAATGCGGTCTTTGCCTTTTCCTGTATTTTCTAAATAGAAAAGTATTTTGAATCATTTTAAAATGAAAGTTTCATTTAGATTTAAAAGCACCGTATCACTTCCATCACAAACATCAACTACCAAGGCCTAAATGTAGCCCAACACCAAACCCGGTGCTCGGCGCCACCCAGAGGTCCTTTAGTCTGCTGGTGCGGTCCCTGAGGCCCGGAAGCTCACTACTCTCCATGTCTTATCCCACTCTCTTGTCCCCCAGGGGGAACACAACAGATCTCTGTGTCTGTGGAGCCTGGACTCTGTTCCTGTTTATTTCAATCAAGCTTTCTGACTTGTATTTCTTATTACTATATCCCCTGTGCATGTTCCTA